GCCTCCCAAGTAGCTGGGACCACAGGTGCCCGCCACAACGCCTGGCTATTTTTTAGTTGCAGCCGTCATTGTTGTTTGGCGGGTCTGGGCTGGGGATTCAAACCCGCTACCTTAGGTGTACGTGGCTGGCGCCTTAGCCGGTTGAGCTATAGGTGCCAAGTCTTTAGGTATAATTTAGATTCTTCTAATCCATTTATATCAAAAGAACATTTATTTTATATCTTTATTTACTACTCAAGCCACTAAAATCTTCTCTTTGTTCCTATTAATCTACAGAAAGCACTATGGTCAAAGTTGCCAGTGATCTCCAATGAAACCTAGTGGGTATTCTTCAGGTTTCATCTTTCTGGATACTTCTGTCCGTTAGTTCTACTAAAACCTGTTTTTGTCTTGGCGGCTGTGATACCATAAATTCCTCAGGGCCCGTTAGCCCTCACATTTTCCAAACGAGGCCCTTCCTCTCACGTACCTGTTCTGCGCAGGTCACTGTACCCACTCCCACAGATAGGTTTTCATACTATGATAAGGATTTCTCCTTCTAAAGTTCTGCCCATTTTCCCCCCTACAGTCTAAAAATTATTCAGTAGTCAGTTCTACTTTTTATATATCTAATAGGCACTTAAAACTCAACATGCTAAGACGTGATTTCATTGTCTGTCCTTCTTCTGCAAGCCAGATCCTCCAATTCTGTTTACTGATAGAGTTAGTAGGATCATCATCCACTCAGTTCAAGCAAGCTTGAACCTTGAAGTAATCCTTGACTCTTTCTTCCCCCTGTATTAGTAATATAACCCATACTGGATTTGACATGCTCAGTTTCAATTAAATATGTGCCCATCTTCTCCATTCCCACTGACTTTGCCCTCTTGTTGTCTTGCTTGAACTGGTGCAACAACCTATTCTAAATAACCGTTTTAACAACCTTCTGTATGAGCATTTTACCCATTTACTGGTAGGACATAAATCCTTCCACCCTACAATGCCCAGATTTAGCAATATAAAACATATTCGGTGCTCATCTCATGTTTCAAATCCTTTAATACTTACAGTGAAGGTGTATATGCTACTCTACACATGTGGTAAAATTAAATAGAACTATGTACATATACATATATACACAGCTACACTCAAATGAGTACAAGTAAATTCAGGAATGATGAGTAAGATCAATGAATTTTATCAATGTCAGTATCCTGGTTTTAATATTACATCATAGTTTTACAAGAGGTTGCCATTGGGGGAAACTGGGTAAAGGGTACATGGAATTTCTCTGAATTATTTGTTACAATTGCATATTGATCTCCAATTATTTCACAATTAGAAGCTCACTTAAGTATTTTACAAAGTATATCCTTCAGTATTTACCATAAGTGTTTAAGCTTTTTAACATAGCCCATAAGTTTCTTCTCATTCCATCATCTCCCAGAATTCTCAACCTCAGATTTGTATACCATTTTAAAATAAAGTTGCTTGTGATTTTTTCTTATACAAGTTATTTTCCATTTTTAGTATTTTTTATGCTATTGCCATTGAGTACCCCCTTTGTACCATTACTCTCACCTGACCTGTTCCTTCTCATCATCTAAGAGTCTTTCCATGACCTCTGGACCCCTCAGATGAGATTTATATATTCCATCTTTGTGTCTTTATAGTGCAGTGTGCACTTTTACCATATTTATTATAGGTTTATTTTCCTGTCATCTTCTATGCCATGACCACCTAGGGAATAAGATAATATTATTCACTGTTTTTATTTCTCATGCCAATTATGCTTCTTAGCAAATAATAAATGCTATACATATGTTTAATTTGAAGAAATGAATGTACTGTTGTAGATAGCTTGGGAAAGATCATCAATAAATTCAGTACTATTATCTTCTATCAGGCAACTAGATCAGAATACACATTTGAAAATTTAAGGTGATTGATTATCATAGTGCACACTTTATTTAACAATATGAACATTAATGATTAAGTGCTTAACTAATTTCTTTTCTTTTTTCTTGGAGACAGTCTCACTATGTCACCTTCAGTAGAGTGCTGTAGCATCACAGCTCACAGTTTCAAACTCTTGGGCTTAAGCAATTCTCTTGCCCCAGCCCCTCATGTAGCTGGAACTACAGGTGCCCGCCACAATGCCCAGCTATTTTTTGGTTGTAGTTGTCACTGTTGTTTGGCAAGCCTGGGCTGGATTCAAATCTGCCAGCCCTGGTGTATGTGATTGGTGCCCTAGCCACTAAGCTATAAGAGCCAAGCCAAGAGCTTAACTAATTTTATTATATAGAGTAGAATTAGCCCACTAATTATTATATGAATCCCACATTAAAATGTTCTATGCAGAACATATTCAGATTTGGAGAATGTATCATCTGAGAAACCTCATGTTGAAATCTTTATATGTGAATTTTGAGCCAAAAATGCCTAATATTTTCTTGGAATTAATTTCCAGGTATATAATTACCAGGTCAACTCATGGATACATTTTAGGTTTTTGATACTCAATTTAAAATAAGTTTTGGGGGGTGGCGCCTATGGCTCAGTGAGTAAGGCGCTGGCCCCATTTACTGAGGGGGGCAGGTTCAAACCCACCCCCAGCCAAACTGCAACAAAAAATAGCCAGGTGTTGTGGTGGATGCCTGTAGTCCCAGCTAGTTGGGAGGCTGAGGTAGGAGAATGGCCTAATCCTAGGAGTTGGAGGTTGCTGTGAGCTGTGACTTCACAGCACTCTACCAAGGACAATAAAGTGAGACTGTCTCTAAAAATAAGTTTCTGGGAAGCACAAGGTATACATACACCTGTCCAAAATGTAGGGGTATCTATCTCTTAAAAGAGAAAAAGGCATTTAAAGTAAAGGCCAACTTAAGGACCCAGCAGCAAAAGGAAGCAAACAGAGCTAGTGTTCATTTGCAAAGCATTCAGACGTCTGCTCATTCTTTAGTCATGAGAATTCTACACTCCAATTAAGGGCCAGCCACACACACAAAGGTAAGTACTGGGTGATTAAACAATAAAAATTTTTGGTTTAGACTAGAGGTTTGAGTTTATTGTGCCTGAGTGTGATGGTAAGATTGTAGTTATGACAGGGGTGATTAATATGAGGGTAAAATGTGAGTGCTCTGAGCTCATTTCTGTTTTCTGATAACTGTGTCTTACCTACTGGAGGCAGAATACCTAGATAATCAGTTGACACTTAGAAAATATGTTTAATTATAGGTCAGGCTTAATGAGGGAATGTTTATTTTCTTTTTCTGCAGACCTCAGAAGTAGGACAGTGGAAATAGAGAACATAATAACAGGATTACTAGTTAGAAAATAAGATGTTTGATAGAAGATGTGATTGTCTAGCATTTGAGATCTATTTGATTTTATAGATCCATGACACTACCCAGAGAAATGCCAATTGTGCACTTGTAAAATGTACTACATATACCTTCAGGAGTTTATAGATTCACCTGATGTTTTCTTGATAGATTATGTTTTAACTATATCATAAATACAGAAACTATAATCCAAGTTTCATCTTTGTTCCTTTAAGTTTCGTAGAAACCCCAGCTCATTTCTCTTGGAAAGAAAGTTATTATCGATCCACCATGTCCCAGAGCACACAGACAAGTGAATTCCTCAGTCCAGAGGTTTTCCAGCATATCTGGGATTTTTTGGAACAGTAAGTATTAAACAGGCAAGAAATGTTGTACCTGAACTATTGTACATAGATAAATGTGAGTGGGCAAGTTATTGCTTATAGGGCATGTTTCTAGAACAATAAAAATGTTAGGAAAGTTTAATGCCTCCAATGTCATCTCTGTGGTGAAAAATCAGTGGTGATTTATTCAGCTTCTGACAGCAAAAGATAATTATTATTCCACGGTGATATAATTTTGGAGGGTTTAGGAGGGCTCTCCTGCATAATCCAAAGTAGCTTTCTCAATGTAAAACACTTGAAGACATCAGCCTGGGATAAACCTTTATGAGAAAGGACCCCCACCCCAAGCAACTGCAACAACGCCAGAATAAATAACTGGGACTTGATCAAGCTAAAAAGCTTTTGCACAGCTAAGGGTACCACAAACAAAGCAAACAGATAGCTTTCAGAATGGGAGAAGATTTTAACATTTTATGAATCTGACAAAGGCCTGATAACCAGAATCTATAGAGAATTTAAACAATAAGAAAAGTGCAAGCAACCCTCTCTATAAGTGGACAAGAAGTTTGAACAGAAACATCTCCATGGAGACAAATGGCCAACAAACACATCAAAAAATGCTCATCATCTTTAATCATCAGAGAAATGCAAATCAAAACCACTCTAAGATATCACCTAACTCCAGTAAGATTAGCCCACATCACAAAGTCTCAAAACATCAGACGCTGGCATGAATGTGGAGAGAAGGGAACACTTCTATATTGCTGGGGAGATTGCAAACTAATACAGCCTTTTTGGAGAGAAGTATGGAGAATCCTCAAAGATCTAAAAGTAGACCTTCCATTTGATCCTGCAATCCCATTACTAAGTATCTATCCAGAAAAACAAACATCATTTTACCACAAAGACATTTGTGCTAGAATATTTATTGCAGCTCAATCATAATTGCCAAGTTGTAGAAGCAACCTAAGTGCCCATGAACCCATGAATGGATCAACAAACTGTGTTATATGTATACCATGGAATACTATTCAGCCATTAAAAAAGATAGAGACTTTACATCTTTTACCTGGATGGAGTTGAAATATATTCTTCTTAGTAAAGCATTGCAATGTAAAAATAAATATCCAATGTACTTCATAATAATATGGAATCAATATGTTAACTTACATGCTCATAAGAACAATAAAACACTAATATAGTCCAGTTCAGGGGTAAAGGGAAGCAGGAGGGAGAGGAGGGAGGACGTTTGGCAGGAGGAGGGAGGGCATGAGGCGGGATCTCACCTAATGTGCACATCATGAGGGTGTATAACACGCCCCCTGGGGAGGGGCTTTTCTACCAATGAAACTTTATCCTGGAAGTGAGAACCATGTAACCTAAAAATTGTACCTTCATATTAATTTGAAAAAATAAAATACTCAAAAAAAAAAAAGAAGAAATGACAAAATAAAAATAGCTTTCCCAATAGCTAATACTTAGAATCCCTTTGTTTGGCTTGAAGACTTGGCCACTGTTATAATGCAGGTAGTCCTCAAGAAGATAAGACACTAAATTTTGTTAATACTTTAAATCTTGCAAGGAAAAGTATTATATTCCTTTTATTAAAAGTATGTTTGGATAAAAACAATGCAAAGGAATAAGGCATACAATGATCTATCCTCAGTCATTTGTTCTTCTCTGCTCTGCATTTTACCCAGTAATTCTTCAAAGAGGGCAGGAGTCATGATTCCCATTTAACAGATAGGGCTCGAACTGCTTCAAATTATACATCTGATAAGTGGTTGAGCCAGGATTTAAAACTAGGATTTCTGACTCCCAGCAAGCAATGAGCCTTGCCAACATTCAAGTAGAAAGTGTTGATGGTTGCCAACTGGATTGAGTGTGTTTTCATCCTTTTCATATCTAACATGCTTTTTTTTTTGTTCTTTATGTCAGGCCTATATGTTCAGTTCAGCCCATTGACTTGAACTTTGTGGATGAACCATCAGAAAATGGCACAACAAACAAGATCGAGATTAGCATGGACTGTATCCGCGTGCAGGACTCGGACCTGAGTGACCCCATGTGGGTGAGTGCCATGGGATTCCTCTTTAACCTGTGGGCCGTGGCATCCACAGCTCTGTTAAACCTTTCAGGCTCCACACCTGTGGCTCAAGTGGCTATGGTGCCAGCCACATACACCTGAGCTGGCTGGTTTGAATCCAGCCCTAGCCGCCAAACAACAATGATAGCTGCAACCAAAAAGTAGCCAGGCTTTGTGGTGGGTGCCTGTGGTCCCAGCTTCTTGGGAGGTGGAGGCAGAAGAATCGCTTGAGCCCAGGAATTAGAGGTTGCTGTGAGTTGTGATGCCATAGCACTCTACCAAGGGCAACAACTTGAGGCTCTGTCTCAAAGACACAAACAAACAAAAAACCCTTATCTTTTAAATGGTTCTATCCATAGCATTTTCCACTATGGGAAACCACTCTCTCATGGGACTATCCTAAAGAAGCCTATTTCTTTAATGAAAGAAGAGGAAATAATTCTATTTTCACACCCTGGTTTAAATACTTAGTAGTAGAGTAAAAGGAAAGAGTAAGACTAATCAATCCATAAAATAGACTTTTCTTGACTTTATGACTGAGCCATTCATGACCATAGGTCCCAGTTTCTTATTTACAAAATGATGAGATCTTAAGTGCCACCTATATCCCAAGCAAACTAAGGCATTTAATGGGTTAATGATAGCAAAATATTTTTCTCAGATGTTCAGATGAAATTTCCTGTTTTTGTGCATTCTATAATACTGGTGTGTTTTATCGTTTATTCATCATATGAGTTCTGCTATTTTTTCTATTAAAATTTTCTAGAAAAATAGGGAAACATCTGGAAATAGAGTGGGGTGTCATATAGTGTCCGCTGACATAATTAAGGAGAATGCTTTAGAAAATGTCTTGCCTTGTTTGATATGAGATTTTAATGGAATTTTCACTGTATACTTTTATATAGAGAGAATGTACTTATTAATATTGGGCGAGAGTAAAGTACAGAAAGGGGAGAGGAAACAATTGAAACTAGGAAGTTGTATTCTACATATACAGTCATGCCTTGTCACTGAATTGATAAGGGGGAAAATACAGTTTTTTCATTGACACCTTCCACTCTAATACAGGTATAGTTCTGAGTTATCCTAGAGCTGTGAAAGAAACTGACAGGTGATTCCACATGGCAGATCATTCGAGACTTTAGAATGTATTTAATTGGGCTGGGCACCCGTAGCACAGTGGTTATGGCGCCGGCCACATACACCAAGGTTTGGGCTGGGTTCAAACCTGCCAACCTTGGTGTATGTGGCCGGCGCCATAACCACTGTGCTAAACAGTGACAACTGTTTAACAGCTAAACAATGACAACTGCAACAAAAAATACCTGGGTGTTGTGGCGGGTGCCTGTAGTCCCAGCTACTTGGGAGACTAAAGCAAAAGAATCGCTTAAACTCAAAAGTTGGAGGTTGCTGTGAGCTGTGATGCTGCAGCACTCTACCTAGGGTAACATAGTGAGACTCCATCTCAAAAAAAAAATCTATTGTAATTGAACATAAATATGTGTAAATTCTGACTTTATGGCTTAAAAATTAGGACATTCCCAATTCATATAAAAATGTTGCCCCTAAGCTGAGGGGTAGTACCTGCCTAAGCAGCCTATGGTTTTGTACTCTCCCCGGGATTTTCTCTTGTGACTTTCAGACTTACAAAAGTTGGGAAAAACTTGTGACGTTTATAATGGAGACTCACAAACTCTTTTTACAGTTACGATTCTTATCTTTTTATGCACTAACATGTGCTTTCCTAATGCGTCATGCTATTTCTTCTTTATATTCTTGGAAATTTTCTCCTTGGTAGTACCATTCCCATGTTTTCTCCTCTCTGGACAGTTCATATCTGTCCCTCAGTGCTCGGTTTGTGTTGCCGTCTCGGGGCGCTTTCTGTATCACTATTGCGATCCACGCATAGACTGTTCTATCACTTAGGGGATTTCTGTCACACCCAGGGCTTATGGGCACATTGTAGGTCCCCACAGTTGGAGATTCACAAAGAACTAGAAAATAAAATGAAATGAGGTTTTGCCTTTGGGGTAAACAAAGCAGGGCTCTTAGGAGCAATTATTTTGAAAGAAACGTATGAGCGAGAATGAACTTAAATGAATAAACAGACTGGCCTATCTGTGGCTGCCCTGTCTTTGTAAAAAACGGAGACATTCCTAACAAATTATAGTTCTACACGAATCCTGAGTTTTCCCTTAGGACTATTCCAACATCCTCGTATATCTCCACATGAAGAAACCACATGAATGGGGGCAGATAACAGCAGTTCTCAGCAATAGGAGTGGCAAAATGGCAGGGTTGCTCAGGATGTTAATAAGTAGTGTTCTGGTTCACGCTCTAGCCCTTCAAAACTGCTGCTGCAGCTGGTACAAGGAAGGTTCTTTTCTTTCATTACCTGGTAGCCTAGTTTCTTTCTTCTGTGTAGAAGTTAGCGGCTAAAGAGTTCCTGAAGCACATAAATTACTTTCCTCTTGGATATAATATTTTATTAAGTTGGGATCTCAGCCAAGCATTCTTTCACTGTGCGAGAAATACGAAATCTACGGACATGAAGAAACATCTCAGATTATGAAGGACAGAAATCTCGAAATTCATCCCATTTTCACTGATTCTTTTTGATACAGCCCTTTACACTAATAACTACTAATGAAATGGAATCAAAATGTTCTGCTCTGATTATTAACAAGGAAAATCAGAATTGCAAAGAATGTGTGTCTTCTTAATTAGAATGATTTAATGTCACTGAAAAATGAACTTCGTGGGATTATAAATGAAGGTGAATGGAGTGTCTCAAAAAATTGTACTTTTTACTCTATGTTCCCCAGGACTCTGTTAATTCTTGATTCTGTTGTCTACTGTATGACTTCATATCTCAGCTTTGTATTATTTAAAAACTATCAAGTGCATCTATCTTCAAATGGTAGATAATGATATTGATACTTAAATATTCTTCTGGAATGATTAATGCTAACTACAAAACCCTTTTGCATCTGTTTATTCCTGTACTTTAAAGAAAACCCTTTTAAGCTGAATTGAGTTTTTCCCTACTAAATTGAATGGCATTTATCTAAGACCATTTTTTTGTAAATCCTTATTGCACTGTCGAGATACAGAAGAGAAGTCTTCAATTCTACCTACCAAACAACCCCAATACCTAGGTAGGCATATTTATATTTGGGGAGGCTTAGGCCAAAGCCCTAGCACAATGCTCTATATCTTATGCAACTCAAGAGTCATATAAGATTTGAAACATTTATATGACCTCTAGTCACAATGATTATTTAGTACCTATGCTATATGCTCTGTTCTGTGTGATTCAGATAAATAACTCATAAGTCTCTAACTTTAATATAGCAGAAAAACAAGTGTGTATAAAATTACCTATGAATAGTCGTCAGGATATATATTTTTAAGACACATAAAAAAAGATTGATTTATAGGGCCTGAGAAACACTAGCAATGCATTATAGAGAAAGTTAGTTTTATTAAGGGCTTGAAATATGAGTCAAAATAATCAAAACAGGGAAATAAAAAGTAGTCAAGTGTGGGTAAATGTTAGAAAAATGATTTATTATCAAAATAGAATGTTCCAACCAAATGATAAAAGATAAAAACCAAAAAATTTGACCAAAGGAGATTTTTATTAAAACAGATATAAGATGAACATGGGCAGCACCTGTGGCTCAGTTGGTAGGGTGCCGGCCCCATACACTGAGGGTGGTGGGTTCAAACCCAGCCCTGGCCAAACTGCAACAACAACAACAAAATAGCCGGGTGTTGTGGTGGGTGCCTATAGTCCCAGCTACTCAGGAGGCTGAGGCAAGAGAATCGTCTAAGCCCAAGAGCTGGAGGTTGCTGTGAGCTGTGATGCCACGGCACTCTTCTGAGGCAATAGAGTGTAAAGTGAGACAACATAAACATAAAATTACATAAAATTACAATTCCTGACAAAATTTTAACATCCATAATGAATTAATATTTAAAAATCAATAAGAAAAATAGTAACTTCGCTCCACTGGCAAAAAGAGGGTAGGTTATTCACAGGTGAATACAACATTGTTTAACAGACACAAACTGTTCCACCTGTCTTACTAATAAAGAATCTGGGAATTGAATGAGGTTATTTATCTTTCTGATCATCAAAGCTTTGAACAGTTGATGATGGACAATACTGTTGAGATCGCTAGAAAATAGGTGATCTTTCACTTGTGGAGTGTAAACGGATATCATATGTATATATTAAAAGGCAATTTGTACATTTTTAAGTTATTCCCTTTGGCCCATATGTCCCAGTTCTAGATATTTATTTCACAAAACTATTCAAATATAAACAAGCATACATGTAAGCATATACGTATGCACATACACACAGAAATGAAGGCTGTGCACCACCAGTAGTAGTGTTAAGGGCAGGTCTACCCAGCTGAGCCCAGTCCCCCAGTGCCTGAAAGAGCACACTGTCCAGGAATCTAGGGATTGCACAGCCCAGCCCACCAACATTGGCGGTGAGCTTGAACACTCCTCGTGGAGTCTGAGGTCAGGCCCATTGAACTTACCACTGCCACCACCACTGTCATCCACTCATATGTGCTACCCATGGGCCTGGGGACCATTCCGCCCAGCCTGTTACAGCCACTGCCAACAGCAGCATGGACCACACAAATCCTGGCAGGGTTGTCCAACCTGTGGGCTGCAGTCTGCATGCAGGTTATTTGAGGAATGTTTTGCTTATCAAAACACTGGTGTCAGATATTACAAACGTTATATGTAGACCCATTATGCACAGACCTTTTTTTTCTTTTTCTCATCAGCGTTCATTAGTGTTTGTGTATTTAACATGAAGCCCAAGACATTCTTTTTGTACAATTCTTTTTGGCAGAGAAAAAAGACTGGACTCTCCTGTGAGGGCTGTCCCACCACTGCTATTGCCTGTGTTGCACACACTGCCCGGGGACTCTGGGATCACCCAGCCCCTGCTGTTGTTT